AAAAAAAAAAATACACAGAGTTCTTAATTAGCTGATTTAAAGGCCAGAGATCATCGTATTAATGGCATCTGAAAGTACACGAAGGCCATACCTTGTTGTATCATTAGTTCATCGCACTAATCCAATTAAATAGCAGTAAAAAGCATAAAAATCATTGCACATAGTACACATTGAACGGAGTGAGATCAGTATAATAAGTAAAACAAATGTAATCTGAATTTGATCAATTGGTCTATTATTAATCGGAATAGTTTTTTTTTTTTCTTTCTGTTTCCCAATTTTTTTTTATCAGGACAAGAGAAGAGACTTACTCGGAGCTAGCAAACTCATAGAGCCTGCCTTTCTGAGAGAAAATAATCAAAGCAACTTCAGCATCACAAAGAACAGATAGTTCAAATGCCTTCTTCAGCAGCCCATTTCTACGCTTTGAGAATGTCACTTGCCTGCTCGTTGCATTCTCAATCCTCTTCATCAAAACCTTTCCTCTCCCCATTTTCCTATATCAAAATTCCAAGAACATGTTTGGTTTAACAAGTCAAAGTAGCCCTAAACAAAGATCTCCATCAAAATGATCCAGAACACAGATGTAAATCTTACCAGAAATTGCAAAACCCCAGAAAAAAAAAATTGCAGTGGAGCACAAAGAAGATGATGCAAAGAATTTAAGAGACCAGTTAAACCCGAGTAATTCTAGAAATTCCACGCACCAAAACACAGCTTTGGTATTAAAAACTTGACAAGAACAGTTGCAGCACCAAAACCCTAGAAAATTTACATACACAAACACACAAGCTGCTACCCAAATTTTTACAAGAGAAGTTACACAGCCCAAAAAAACCCAAAGAACTTTTATTCACCAGAGCACTAGAACATGTCAATAGCATTCAAAAGAATTAAACAAAAAAGAGAATAGCAAAGACAGCCAAGAAACTCCATAAAGATCTGGAGCACAAAAACACTTGAAGAAATCAAATTTTTTTTTGAAGAAAATAGGAGTCAAAATCGTAGAAAAAAATATTTGAACAAGGAACATAATTAAACATATCAAAATCTTAAATATATGGTAACCCAATACCCACCAGAAATATATAACCGGAAATAAAAAAACGAAAGTGAGAAAAAGGAATTCTTATGATTGTTGAAGTCTCAATCTCTTTATTTTCTGGCCACAGAACCCAATATTTCCTTATTCATCGTCTATCTGTGATTCTCTTTGCCATTTCACTGTCAAGTCTTACACACAAAAAAGGCAAAGAACATGAAACCAACCTTAAAATAATTAAAACAACTGGAAAACCAGGAACCTCATTGTTATCTAGTTTTGGTAAACTTACAAAAGGGATTGAGAGACAGTCGAGATAAAGTAACAACAATAAAGGAAAGACACACAACTAATCTAGCAATGTCTTCTTAGTCTTCATAAAGACTATAATAGTGTTAAATTTAATAAGTTTTTTAGTTTGTTTATTATAAAAAATTAAAATTTTTAGAATCTAAGTTATTATTATTTAGGTTAGATTACAATTTTTTAAAATAATTCGACATTAATTATTAAAATTTATAAATAACCTCTAAAATTTATATATATAAAATTATAGAACTTGTAATGCCGACAGTGAAACAATTCTTCTTCTTTTAAAAAGTTGTACAACAGAAAAATAAATTATAGTAAAAATTTTTTTTTTTTTTGGGTAAGTAATTATAGTAATAATTACTAGCGTTAATTAATTACAATGGGGTCCGGAGTGCCAAGTGATGTGAACTCGGTAACATCATCGTACGATGACGTGATGGATGACGAATCATATGGTGACAACGCATCTTTGTAATTATCCCAACGTCGCCACTCCGATCAATAGAAAAAAAAAACAAAAAAACTTTGCCACGTGGCTCTTCAGCTCTGGTCTCTTGTCATTGGGCAAATAAGTAATTATCTCCCTGTCATTGCAAGCCAGACGATTTCCACTCGGTTTTCCGCCCAAATTCGGAAGATTTTTTGCTTTTTTTTGGTGGTCGAGTATCACTGCGCAGACCGAATAAAATTTGGGACGTTACAGTTAATCGATACTAATTGATATGAATTAAGTGAATTTATACGAGATTTTAACGGATTTAAATGATAAATAGAATGACCCATTTGACATATTTAATAAATCGGTCGTGTTCGAGTGAGACTTATCAACTCGCTTATTACTCATATATTAGTTTAAATAAAATTAATAGTATAATAAATTAATAATTTTTTTAAAAAATTAGCCAGAATTTTTTATTTTTTTATAGTAATAGTCTCAAAAAATATATAAGACATTTAAAATTGTTAGATTATTAATTTTATAAAGTTAGTTTTATAAAATTATATAATATTTTTAAACAAATAGGTAAATGAGTCTAATGAGTGGTTTATTGTGTTAATTCGACCCAACTCAACACCACTCGTTTAAAACTAAACAACTTAAACGAGTTGTATCTTGTTACCTGTTTATTAATTGGTTCGTGTTCGTGTTGAAGTTTTCACTTATTTATTAAACGTGTCGTGTATGAGTTTACATGTTTTTCATCCGTCACCCTTTTAACCCGACATGTAACTGTTTAATTCAACACGATTGACACCTCTACCTCGGTGAATCGAGTAGACAGATTCGTGTCGAATTTTTGTAAATTTATTTCAAAAAATATTTTATTTATATCTAATTCATTTATTAATTCGTATTTAGCAAATCGTGTTATATCAGATTCATGTTGTGTATGAAAAATATATTGCTGGTATATAAACAAGTTGTGTCTTTTTTTTTATTCATTTCATTCATGCCTAATTTGTTTATTAATAGTATCGTATTAAATTCATTTGTTTATTAAATAAATAATTTAAGAAACATTAAACTCTCTAATTTTATATCACATTAACTAATTGTGTCATATTTTAACATGTGTTAGACGGAGCGAATAGACTCTTCAATCCATTTTTCTTTCCCTCAATTTTCTTCTAACGGTGAAAAATCGTTGTATCTTTCGTATATTTCACTCGTTTTTTCCATCTTTTCAATATTCTTTCAAACCAAACATGAGAGGTAAGAATACTCACTGCACTACTCTGAACACTCTCATTTAACGAGAATCCAATTGGGGTAAATTTACCCTTTGGCTATGCAATATAAAAGTAATATTATCGATACTTAAAAAATTAATTTAATTTATTAATATAATCAAAAAATTTTAATGAAAAAATTTAGAAGTTATTGTAACAACAACACCATTAAATCAATAAATTAAATTAATTTTTTATACCTTAATAATATTACTCACAATATAATATCCTTCCATCGCAACCTTGGTAGACTTTTCTAATTCAAACGAAAAACCTTGTTAATAACGCTTTTAGTAGTTAAAGTATGTATTTTTTGTCACTTTAATCGTTAATGTATCAATTTTTTCACTTTGATCTCTAAAGTATTCAATTCATGTTGTTTTAGTCTCTACATGGACAGACTGATAAATTTTTTGACGGAAATGGTTACTTGTTATTTTTTTTAGACGGTATCTTATGTCCAATATATGATCATTTTGTAAAAAATTTAACGGACTATCTATGTAGGTACTAAAATGACATGAATTGAATATGTTAGTGACCACATTAATAAAATTGATACATTAAAAATTAAATCGACAAAATTTTTTTTTTTAAATAATAAAAGTGTTATTTACCCCTCAAAAAAAAAAAAAACACCCCGCACCCCACGAAAAGGACATACTGCAACATGATGAACCATTGCCATGTGAATGTTGTTGCTCAGTTAGCCCAGTTGCTTTCGGGGCCCCACCCCCGGAAATTCATATTCTCGTAAACACAAAGTTATGAAAAAGGAAAGAGGCCTGGATTTGTCTACAATAATAAACTCTATACTTTTTGAAATTTATCCTAAACATTTTTGTACGAACCTCCGATCTATTATTATTCTGAATAATTGTACATCAAGACCTAAAAATCATTCCTTTTTTTTTTGGTCGATAATTTTGGTAAAAATTTATCATACTCTAAGGTCTAACTCAAATGATTAATTTAATGGTGGTTCAGTCATTCGATAAACCTCTCATGAGGGATAGGTCAGAAGTTCGAATATCTTATGAAGTGTAGTCCCTTGGAGCCCCGGTCTACAGATTTACCCCTTATTTAGAGAGACGACTTTGTGCAAGATTCGGCATTAGTTTGGCAATGATCTACTAAGACAATTAAGATACAAAAAAAAATTCTAAGGTCTAGAATCATTTTGACTTAGAATTATCTGTAAGTATCCCGCAGCCCTAATGGTGACTTCCAGGCCTCCGTCCAAAATTGGGCCTTTTGTGTATATTTGACAATTTTTTGGTCTTGGGCCATTACCTTTTCAACGCATTCTATCGAGGCCCAACTAAAAACCTGGTGGGTTGCCCTCTCTGCGTGTGGAAGAGGGAGGGAGGGTTTTAAATTTAGAACATAAAACGTAAAGCAGCAATGAATTGAAGAGAAAAATGGGGGAGAGGAAGAAAGATAGAGGTGGGAAGAAAACAACATCGGAATGGCCACTGATCAAACCAAAGACTAATCTCCAAATATCTCGCCTCAAAGACACCGATCTTTTTACTGTACGATGTTTTCCCCCTATAATCTCTAGTTATTTTTTTTGGTTCATTTTTTGTTGTTAATTGTCGAGAATTCTTTGTAGTACCAGTAATAGTAGTTTAGCGTTCCATTTGTGTAGACTTTGTTTCTCGTATAATGACTTGAAATTTTTTTATAACTCACAATAAAAATTTTATGGTGAGTATATTGTATATAATTCTCGAGATGGGTTGATCTGTGGTTGATTTTCCGTAAATGTTCTCAAATTCATAATAGCAGCTAAACTCTGATCTAAGCTTCAATTCAGTCAATAATTCAGCTCTTGAAGTAGATATGCATATGGATTCCTGTTATTGAACTGGGATTTCCATTGGATTGTGGATGAATTGGTTTGTTCATGGGTTGAGATTGCTGAAATCTTTTTTCTTTTTAAATCCTATGTGTTATTTTTCTCTATCTGAGGCTTATATGGGGGCACAGATGGTGCTCTAATGGGCGCAATCTTAACTGTGTTGTACTGGAATTATGATAAAATCTCTGCAATTACCCAATTTGATCCATGCTTCATATGATGAATAAACACAAGCTTGAGCTGGGTTGGTGTCTTGCTTTATTAAGTTAGCCAGGTTAATTCAATTGTTTGATCAAGCATTGGAGGACTTAACTTGTCTGTATTGAACATGAGCTGTAACCTGATCTCTTTCAATTTCATAAGATTACTTCTTGCAACCCAGTTGTTGCCTCCTACTCTCTCCCCTCCAATATGGCCCCTAGATTTAGGATGTGTTGGATGGGGACAATGTGTGGTTACTTCTATTTTGCAATTTAGGTAATATAGAATTAAAGATGGAAATTTTTGAAATATCCTGTTATAAGATTATGCATGCTTTGTGTTGCACAAGATTTTATAATGGGCGTAATGAGGGAAAGATATTAAGATGGTTGAGCGAGAGAAAAAATATAGGGCAAAATTCTATTACCTTTTTCTCTAGATACTAAATAGTGTAATGTACTTTGAATGTGCCAAATAATTAGTATGTTAAATGTTATGATGGTAAGTAAGGCCTGCAAATTGTTCTGGATTGAGGAAATGGGGAAAGACAGGGTGGCCTATGATTCCCCTGGGTAACTAGATTTGTTTAAGTGACAGAAACCAAAATATTTGGATGTATCTTTCTGAGCAGTGATTACTCTTTTTAATAAATCAGAAAAATCCTGCTTTTCATGGTGGAAAAGTTTTGGATGAAAGTGTGTGATAAGCAATCCATATGCTGACTTTGTGATCAAAGGTTATCTGAAGTATTTTGAGCATTATACTCTTCAAGTGATTTGATGTTTTGGATTCTTCAGGTAGTAAAGTATCTCCGTTATTTATGGTTTTCAGGTGCAGAGTTTCTTTACATCTGCTGAATCTAAGGCATTCATTAAAGTTGCAGAATCGATTGGCTTTGTCCACCAAGGGAGTCTTGGCCCCACCAAAGGCGAAGCTTATAGAGACAATGATCGAATTTCTGTAAATGATCCTGTTCTTGCATATACAATATGGGTATCTGGGCTTCACAAAATTTTTTCTGAAATTAAGATTCGAGGCAAGGTTGCTGTTGGGTTGAATCCAAATATAAGATTTTACAGGTCGGTTAAATCTTCTCTTATTAGTTTGTAGTCTTTCATTCCCATCAATAAGGAAAAATTATATATATATATAATATGAGAATCTGTGCATTGTGATGTGATTTTATGAACCAGTTCCCCGTTATGCACTTACACGGTTCTTGTATCATTTTATCCTCTTAATGCATTTTACTATTTGATTGTCTTAAAGAATTTTGCTCTTCTAAAATTTGTATGTCAATATGCCTCTTAATTCATAAGGACATTGGAAATTGTTGTCCGCACGAATGTACCTTGAAGATGAGTTTTATTTCCATGCAGTGATTTATCTTTAGGTATAAGGTTGGTCAGCGCTTTGGATCTCATATTGATGAGAGCACTGATCTTGGAGAGGGGAAGCGCACACATTATACTTTGTTGATATATCTGAGTGGTGTTGTCAAACCCAAATCTAAAAATGATCTGAGCAGCTCTCAGGATTCTTCACACTGATCCTTTGGTTGGAGGAGAGACTGTCTTCTACGGTCCAAGAAATGGTCTCGTGGCTGAGGTACTTCCCCCCACCCCCTCACGCTTTTGATCATTTTGCTTGTTTGTGTCTATGTTATTATTATATTCTGGTTGAACTTTTGCGTTCTATATGGTTTTCTTTTTCCGTGACATCTAGAAGTTGAATATTGTGGAGGAGACATATTCCTATTTCCAATGGCTTGAATTTTATAGGTACCTCCTGCAGAAGGGATGGCTCTTCTTCACATTCATGGGGATAAATGTATGCTGCATGAAGCCCGCAATGTTATTAAAGGTGTCAAGTATGTCTTACGGTCAGATGTAGCTTTTGCTTGAGGAGTATGAGTCATTGTCTAACGTCCAAGCAAGCTTGGTTAGTTATTTATTTGTATATCTCAGTATTTTGTTGTGTTGTTCATCGTCTATGGTTCATTATTTTCATCCTTTTCAAAGGTGCTTTATTTTCATTGATCAGCACAACTATGTTACGAAAGGTAACGGCTTTCAAAAGAACTTGCAGACTTTGTCGCCATTATGTCCATGGTTGATTGCATCTCCCCAACTGAATCACTCGCAGTAAAGTTGCTGAAACTTTTGGCACAGATGCATGTATGAATCTTCAATCCCATGTAATTACTTGGAGATGGGAAGATGAACAAATTTTAGTTTCAGGCGTTATACAACTGGCATTCATAGTGGGAGATTAAGGAATCATAAAGGAAAAACATTAAATTTCAAAGAGCCTACTGTACAGGTAAAACTGGAAACATATTGAGCTATACCAGGAAAAATGAGAGAAACTTCTAGTGAAATGCTGGAGTTATTTGAAATGACTAAAATCTGCAATTTTTTTTTTTGGGTTAATTACAAATTACACCCTGAAAGATTATTTGAATCTAAATTTGTACCCTCAAAGATTAAAAATTTTAATTTACACCCTCAAAGATAGAAATTTGTATTAATGTGCAATTTCAAAGATCAAAAATTTTAATTTGCACCCCTCAAAGATAGAAATTTATATCAATGTAACATTCAAATGTTAAGCTAAATTTTGAATTTTAGAGTATATTGGACCTACAAAATAAAGGATAATATGAAATTATAATTTTTTATTAAGATAAAATTATATTTTTTAACAGTTATATTAACATATATCAATGAAAAAGAGTTAAGTGTTTTATGTGCATAAATGTCATGAGATGTGGGAGTAATATTTTAAACATGAAGGGGTCTAAATGATTAAGTAACAAACATGAGAGGATCAATTGGATGTAGAGCAAGAAAAGCTCTTATGATTTGGGTTTCTAATTATGCAGAGGACTGTCAAGCTGGGGGTTGGCAAACATTAGAGACTTGGTGAAAAACCAGATGATTCATCTTGGGTAGCTGGGTTTTGTATATGCTTTTCTTCAGAACATAGTATTGCTTGACTCATGTTTTTAAGGAAGAAAAGTGATCCTATCATATCTCAATTTTGCTAACAACCTTAATGTTAAAATAAGGGCTAAATGCTTCATTTCAATTGTTGTTCATTGTCCTTCGATCGAAATTTTATGACAAATTTTAAGGGATTGTATCATCTATGGCGGATATTTCAATCAATACTTGGGTTTTCAAAACCGACTCTGTTAACAGCTCAGAAATTCATCCCCTTCCATTGCTGTTGATGCTAGATACAGGGCTTGTCCACTCTTCTCCGCATGGTAACTTACTCTGGTTCCTGACATGGTAACCTAAGCATCATCGATCCAAATCATCCAAGATAATGGGGTTACTCCGTTTGATGATGGACCGGGCCTCTTTCACACATAACGGCTCCACCCTGGCCAGCCACAAAATTTAAGACCTGGGCCAGAATATTCGTTTCATGGGTTGGATTTGGGCCAACAAATTTATCCGAATGAAGATTTGGGTTGGAATTGGAATAAAACATATGACATTTTTTTGTACTATAGTCAAAATATAAGTAGGTGATTCCAATATACGTGACTATATTTGTGATTAAAATATAAATAGATAAATTTATTATAATTATAATATAAATAAACACATGAATAGACATATTATTGACGTTCAAAAGCATATTATTTCCTGCTTGGTAGTATAATCCAATTTTTTATTTTATATAGGAAAATGTGTTTTACACGTAATTTGAGAATTTAATTAATTACATTCGCTGAATTATTAGTAGACTCTATTTAATCTTAAAATTCATAACTAATTTAACGAATATAATTCATTTGTTGTTTTATTATTGATAGTGTGCCCAAAGAGAGAAACATGTTCGAGAACATAAAAGTAAAGTAGCATAGTTAATAACCCTTAGGAGAAATTCAATAATTAAGTTTAAAGTTTTTGNTTTTAACAGTTATATTAACATATATCAATGAAAAAGAGTTAAGTGTTTTATGTGCATAAATGTCATGAGATGTGGGAGTAATATTTTAAACATGAAGGGGTCTAAATGATTAAGTAACAAACATGAGAGGATCAATTGGATGTAGAGCAAGAAAAGCTCTTATGATTTGGGTTTCTAATTATGCAGAGGACTGTCAAGCTGGGGGTTGGCAAACATTAGAGACTTGGTGAAAAACCAGATGATTCATCTTGGGTAGCTGGGTTTTGTATATGCTTTTCTTCAGAACATAGTATTGCTTGACTCATGTTTTTAAGGAAGAAAAGTGATCCTATCATATCTCAATTTTGCTAACAACCTTAATGTTAAAATAAGGGCTAAATGCTTCATTTCAATTGTTGTTCATTGTCCTTCGATCGAAATTTTATGACAAATTTTAAGGGATTGTATCATCTATGGCGGATATTTCAATCAATACTTGGGTTTTCAAAACCGACTCTGTTAACAGCTCAGAAATTCATCCCCTTCCATTGCTGTTGATGCTAGATACAGGGCTTGTCCACTCTTCTCCGCATGGTAACTTACTCTGGTTCCTGACATGGTAACCTAAGCATCATCGATCCAAATCATCCAAGATAATGGGGTTACTCCGTTTGATGATGGACCGGGCCTCTTTCACACATAACGGCTCCACCCTGGCCAGCCACAAAATTTAAGACCTGGGCCAGAATATTCGTTTCATGGGTTGGATTTGGGCCAACAAATTTATCCGAATGAAGATTTGGGTTGGAATTGGAATAAAACATATGACATTTTTTTGTACTATAGTCAAAATATAAGTAGGTGATTCCAATATACGTGACTATATTTGTGATTAAAATATAAATAGATAAATTTATTATAATTATAATATAAATAAACACATGAATAGACATATTATTGACGTTCAAAAGCATATTATTTCCTGCTTGGTAGTATAATCCAATTTTTTATTTTATATAGGAAAATGTGTTTTACACGTAATTTGAGAATTTAATTAATTACATTCGCTGAATTATTAGTAGACTCTATTTAATCTTAAAATTCATAACTAATTTAACGAATATAATTCATTTGTTGTTTTATTATTGATAGTGTGCCCAAAGAGAGAAACATGTTCGAGAACATAAAAGTAAAGTAGCATAGTTAATAACCCTTAGGAGAAATTCAATAATTAAGTTTAAAGTTTTTGCTAATTAGAGATTTCTTGTTTAATTCATTTTTATCTTTTAAGGGTTGGTCATCGTCATTACTTTGGGACATGTTTTAAATATACAAAAATCACGGTGGCAACGCTGAGTTTAAAGAAATAATTGATACAAATTTAAAAATTTATTTGTGTAAAAAATAAAAAAGAATAGCGTAGTTATTCTAGTCGCCGATCACGACCTCCATATTTGTGATAAGGATGCACGTACACGTGTCATTATATGGTGAAGCGGTCCCCACATACGTGTAAGCAGGGCCAGCCTGGTTTGGCGGTCCCCACGCCAATCGAACCGCCACCCCCTCACCCCCAATAAAGCAGTAGGCCTAGAGTGGGACCGGGACTGGGACTGGGGTAGCACCCAGAATGGGGACCACCACGCGGCCGCCTTGGTAGACGAGATGGGTCCACAATCGTTGGGGCATCACATGACCAAACTGCTGGCCCACATTAAAACACTGTAAGGCTTTCGGCTTGGTCCACGGACCACCATTGCCGTTGCTTTTCTCTGGTTGACGAGAAAATATTGAATGAAATCTTGACACTAGGTATAAATTCTGTTTAATTTAATAATTATTTTATTTATGTATAAAAATAATTATTAGGTAAAATTAATTAATTTAATTTAATTATAAAATTAGTATTAAGTAATAACACCATGTAATAACAATAACATCACCTCACTGTTAAACCAATATTTACTCTTGACCCACCAAGTGGTGGACCACGACCACATAATAATGGAACCCACCTTGCCTAAACTCACGTGCACTTGGTTATGAATTTATCCACACGAGGACTTCAGCATCAGGAAAGTATTCAAAGATGAGTGGGATTTAATTTACTGCCTTAACTTGTTGATTTAATTTATTATAATTTTTAAATTAATTATAAAATTTATCAAATATTAAAAATTAATGTTGATTCAATGACTCTACTGAAATCACATCATTATATTAACAAATTATAACAAATTTTTAAATTCAAATAATATAACTTTTACAAAGAATGGCAAGAAAAATGTATTGTGACTAGGGGTGATCATTTTTAAATCTTGTTTTTAAATAATTATGTTAAAATTTATTTAATTTATATTAATTTATGTATATTCATACACAATTAATTTTATATTCATATATCTACCCATCTCACTCATTAAAATAATTAATTAGGGATTTATGAATTTAAAGGAGAAAGAATTGACAAGATTTTTTTTTAAGTTTAACTATCAAGGATATTCAAATCAATTTATGTGACTAATCTATTTTCTGATCCGATGAAAAATAGATCATTTTTCGATTTGATAAAAAAAATACTATTCACGTCAAAATTAAGGTAGTCATAACTCTAAAAAATTGTTAAGATTTGAACTCAATATTTACGGTTCATTTCTATCACCGGTTAAACTATTCCAGTTAAAAAGATTTCTATCACAAATAAAAAATCAAAATCAAAAACAAAATCCGAATGAAAAGTGATTGTCCTAATAACATTAAGTCAATTTACGAAACAAAAACTAGAGAGAAAAGAGTTGTGAAAGGGCAAACCTAGGGAGCTTTGAACAACCCATATTAGTACTAACCAGAAACACAGGTAAAAATTCCAAAGAAACTGTGTGTGATCTTAAAACCCTAACCTTGTTTTCTATTAATTCCTCAAGGTTTTGAAGATGGTGTTTGGTCATTCACAGAGCTAACCATAAACTGAAGCTCTCTCTTATCGTAAATCTCCAAAGAAAAATCTCTAAGCATCTGAGTAGTAGTAGTGGTGCTAGTTGTAGTAGTAGAACTTGAACTCGGAGCCATTGTTGACATCTTCCCAGATTTCTCCCCACTTGCACGGGTCGAAACCGGCAACGCCGGCGCCGGGGTTTGACCTGAACCGCCGTAACTAACCCCAGGTTGCATTGCGGACACAAAATTCGATATGGGTCTCCCTGAAACATTGAAAACCGGCGTAGCCGTAGCCGGAATTGCCCATATCTGAGGCTGGTTAGAAGGTCCCGCGATGGTAGCTCCCGCCGGTGGAATCATGAAAAATGCACCACCAGGCACTGCGTTCGAAGCGACCATTCCGGTCCCGGCGCCGACCGTCCATATTGGCACAAGCCCTTGAGCCGTAATAGGTGCCACCGGCGCCATGGAAGCAGAAACAGGGTCGTTCACATCGTAGAACTCACTATTACAAGCCCTCTTTCTTTTCTTCTTCGTGGAGTTGTCTTCTGTGGCAGCGATTGTGGCTGTTGGCGTCGACGGAATCTTCAGGGTTCCGTTGACGGAGACAGCAATAGCAGGGACGGTGCCGGTCCCGGTGGCTTCAATGATAGCTGGCTCGGCGCGTTCGAGAAGCCACCGAATAGTTTCTCCGTCGGACTTATGGCCAAGCTCTCTGGTTAATTGGAAGATCCTCGCCGCACAAGTCGCCGGCATCCGGATTCTCCGGCCACGTCCTTCGACTTTCGTGTGGCGATCCTTTGAAGCTCTTTTTGGTGGTTGAACAACCACCATTGATCTTCCAATTGGTTGAACTTGCATACGCATTGCAGTCACTCCAACCGGTATTGAACCCTCCAGGTCATTGTCTGTGGGTTCTTCCTTCAAAAGAGGGACAATATGAGACGGTGGTTCTGGGTCCTCCGCCACAGTCTCCGCCAACCGCTCCACCGGAGAGATAGTAAATTCCTGTGGGTTATTCAGTAATGGATCAACCGGTAATCCCTTGCTATTGTTCGTGTTGCTGTCTCCGTCGTCGTCAGGTTCAAGAGTTTGGTGATCATCTTCAATGGACGCCATGTTCAAAAGAATCAAACGAAACCCAGAAAAAAGTAGCTTACACCCAGATAATTTCGATCAAAGAAAAAAAGGCTAAAACAAATCCAATAGAGCCAGAAATTTCACGGATGATCAACTGAAACAACAGAGAGATTGAAGCGTCGTCGTTTTTTGATGGAACAGTGGGAGAAGAGACAGAGAGGTTGGGTCGCCCGTTGTTTGTATTGGTTGACTGGCCTTCAATCCATGGTGTACTGTAAACAATTAACAGACCAGAGGGTATTGAAAATTACGATTTACAAATATAAAACGAAGAGAGATAACATTATAAACAGAAAAAGAGAGAGAGGGAAAAGGAAACAAACCCTAGAAAAGGAGACCCACTAATCCTTTGGAATTCCTTCAACAGAGGGACCCCCCACAAACCCTATATATGTGAAGGGAAGGGAAATCAACGGCTGAGAGCTCTTAGACAACTAATGGGGGTCTCGAAGATGGTGACAAGTGGTGGGACCTACCATTTATGGGGATAGCCGTATTTAATTAGGTCAATGGAAGGGTTAAAGCTAATTCTTTACCGCCAAGGACTGATTAGTGCAAATTAGGGATTTTTTGTGGGATTTTTCCAAATATGGTATGCTACATATTCAAAACTGTTTCATTTTAATTATTACCACCAAATAATAGAAATAAAATTGCAAAAAAAAGGAGGGAGCATAAAAAGGAAAAATAAAAATTGCCAAAAGACATTTTAGGCTTTTAGCAGTAGAAAAATTCAAAATTCAGCAGCTGTCACGAGCCACTTTTTTTATGTCATATACATAGATATGTTTAACTTTTTTTTTTTTTTTTTTGAGTTTAAGAATTTAAACTTGATACGAATGTGGTATGCATGCCGGTTATAGCGGTTTTAAGTGGACAAAAAGTATGGTTGTTCCTTTGGTATTTATGCAATTTTTTTCTAGTAAAAAAATAACACTGAATGATGGGTTGTCACCATTTTAATTTTTCAAACAAACAAGATGTAGCTCACTATTACTATTTAATTCCAAACTTGAAGATTATTTATACAATTTTCCATCCTATAGGAAAGGAAGATCATTTATACCTGAAGTATTTGTTTTTTTGCCAGTATGATCTTTCCTTTCCTAATTTCACTGTAATAGTCTCTTAAATTTTCAATTTATTTACCCAAAATAAAAATTCAAATTCAAATTTATCTATTTTAGTTTAATTAAAAAATGATGATTTAATTGACCAATAGATGTGTCATTTGTATTTCACATGACCAAATTGAATGAGCATTATTTAAATTTTTGGAAGACTGAACTAATAAAATTAAAAAATAATAAATACTAAAAAGCGGAAAAAAAACAATAAGCCAAGCCGCATTAAGATCAGTACGGATTTTGGTGGGCATATTGGCCCAACTAGTGGAGGGGGCCCATTCTTTAGCGGCAGTAAGCATTTTTGCCACGTGGCCCTCCATTTTTGGTCTATAGCCCCCACTATATCAACAAGTTTTTTTATGAAAATAACTATATCAACAATTTAAACTTACCTTAATACAATTTTTATGCAAAAAACGAAATGGGTGAGTCTATTCTCATCCTTTTTAATTTCTCGTTTTTAAACTATGAAATCCACATTTTAAATACTCACTTCATTAGAAACTAAACCCACTACATGTTGCATACACTTCATTAATAATTAAGTTCACTCATTCTATATATATCTCTTTAATGAAAGAAATAGTTGTAAAAAAAAATAATAAAAAAAATAATTAGTTTAAATGCATAAATATATTTATGAAATAAGAAAAAAAAAAGAATAAAAACGAAACAAATTAAAAAAATCAAGCATGTTGAAATAAGAAAAAAAAAAGACGCAGACCAAAACAAAAAAAAAAAAGAAAAGAAAGAAATAAACCAAAACAAGAAGGAAAAAAAATCAACCAAAGATTAAAGAAACAAACAAAATTATAAGACGCAAAAAACGAATATGAAAAAAAAAGAAAGTATCAAGCACAGACACAAAATCGAACAAGGAAGAAAATAACAAGCATAAATACAAAATCTTAACAAGATAAAAAAGAACAAATAATCTAAAAATATACATATATATACACACACATAAATTCTAAATAAAAAATTATTAAATTTGACAAAGATATCAAAACATACCGAAAATAATAAAAATTTATATAATAAACATGAAATCAAATATAGAATTAAATTGAGAAGTAATACAAACTTATATCTCACTAAAAAAATTCATATTAAAAAAGTGTTTTTGTGAGTGCATGATAAGAGATAGAGAATGAAACCCTAATTAAGATAAAATATAAAATGGGTTTACTTATTAAAAAGGGTGTATGTAGTGTGTGATGGACTTAGTTACTGATGGAGTGAGTACAAAAGGAATGAAGTTAGTAGTTTGATAATAAAAAATTAAATGAAGTATGAATAAAGATTTATAGAGTGAGAATACCTCTACCTAAACAAAAAAACTTAAATTTTCATTATCCAAATTACAGAGAAAGAGATGAATATAGAATGAATTATAAAGATTTGATATCGAACTAGGCCATGGACCGGTTGCAGGGAAGTTAGAAGTAACAAACTCGACAACAAACTCAAAACTCAGGAGCTTTGCACAAGGCTAGTCTGCAAAAGCTGCAACTTGACACATGGACAAGGGACAAGGGAACATTACCTGACGATTCTGATGAACAAAAATCTACAGGTAGTGAAGACAAATCAAATACTATAGTTGGTGAGTAGTAGATGCTGAAAGGCTTTGAGGACCAAAGCTCTAGGACAAAGACAAATGCAGAAGGAACCACAGAATCAACAAAAAAAGGACAAATACGTAACCCTAAGTACCATCAGGGCTATAGTGCACGAAAGAGTCATTCTGTAAACCACCAAGTAAAATCTAGGCAACGTCTTGTAAAGGCTTCAAGTCAAACATCCTATAATATCAATCTTATTTTTTAAGCAATACAATTCTCAAGAAGCAAGAGTCTTCCTTACAGTCAGTGTTATCAGAATTGAACCAGACCGCTTGGTCAAATTGGTTCAACCATGACCTAGGACCCCAATCGGTCCGATTGACTAGTTAAATTGCATAAGGAAGGGAACCAGATAAAAAAACGCCAAATCGACTGATTTTTGGAGAAAAATTGTGAACCAGACGATTTTTAAAAATCGAACCGGCTTGAAGTCCATAAAAGGAAAAATGAAAAATTGAATCTACTGTTTTTAATTTGGGTCATTTTGATTTTGCCCTAAATTGCATAAGACAGAGAACGAGGAGTGAGGCAACCATTGGTGCTTAGTGACCAGTAGGCATATCAAAATTCAACACAACATGATTAATTGACACGAATCAACACGAATTAAGTAGGTTTTTGTGAGATCTTAACGGGTTCGGGTGATAAACGAGTTAACCCGTTAAACACGTTCAATAAACGGGTTGTATTCAGGTGAAACTTGTTAACCCGTTTATTACCCGTTTACCCATTTAAAAAATTAATTTAATAAAAAATTAATAATTCTTTTAAAAAATTTAGCCTGCATTTCTTGTTTTTCTCTTTGTAAGAAGCTCAAACAAAGCGGCAAAGTTCTGAAACTTTGCAATTCCTCTCTCCTAGGGTTCTCCAAGAATGTCACCTCCACAAAAGCAGCCCACCCCCTACATTTCATGAGTCGAAGATCAACATCAACAGTGATTATCGATTTGTGTAACCATTGAAGTCAAGATTCCTACCAATCTCATTGTTCGTTCGATCTCTGGCAAATTCCCAATGTTCAGGCGCAGAACTTTATTGGGAAATAGTAGAGGCCCCTATCATGTTTTACCATTGTAGCATCTTTTGTGTAAAGTTGCACAATTGTGGAATTCAAGATTTGGGAAAGAATAAGGAATAATTTGACACTAATGACATGTGATCACACACCTTCTTCATGGATACAACATTTTCTATGTTGAAGCCCAGTGGTAGCTAATTCCCTTTCCAAGCAATAAGGGAGACGGGGGTTGAACCCTAGCACTGATTTGGAATATTGAAACTTCATGAGATTCTCCAATCTCATATGAAAAGTTTTGCAATGTAGGGCAACCCCCTAGTTAATATCAGTGTGGATTCTCATATTTGGATTGAAGACCCAACAGTAACTTGAATTGATTGGCTCTATCAAAGATAAATGGAGCAAAAGTTAAGACTTAGAGTCTCATACTATTGATGGGAATACAGTGATTGAGCTTATAATTTTTCGGTGGTGCTGAGGTGAATACAATGATGATATTTTTGGTCTGAGCATGGTTTAAGTTTCAGGTGGTGGATGATATTCTTGATGTTACAGAATCTTCTTGTGGGTCTGCACAGTGAACATAGTGAAAGCTTTTGGCTTGAATCTTATATCGACAAATTTAAATGAAAGAGACATCACATGTCTATAAAAGGCTGCAATCTCTTTCTTTAGTCATTCAACCTTCTCACTTGCTTTTGCAAGTGACAGCCAACTGAAAATCTTTTAATTAAGAGAGTTCGATTGTTGTGAATAATTAATGGAGTTTAAAATTTTAATAGAATAATTTTTTGATGTGGGTTAAAGTTTTAATAAAATTAAACGTGTTAAACAATTCGTGTCATATTACCCGTTTATTAAACGGTTCGTGTTTAAGTTTTTTATTCGTTTATTAAACTTGTCGTGTACGGGTTTACACGTTTTTCACCCGTTTAACCCGATATGTAACCGTTTAAATCGACACGTTTGACACCCTTAGTGATCAGTGTTCTTCGTCTTACTAGGGAGGCAGCGATCAGTGCTCAGACGACCAAGGAAATAGTCCATCAAGGTTGTTCAGTACTCAGGTAGCTCACCGATGATAGCGATCAATGCTTAGGAGGCTCACCAGCGACACAACACTGCTTTTCGTCTCGCCAACGACAACAAGGTAGCGATCAGTGCTCAAGCGGCACTCAGGTGACACAACACTGCTCTTATTCTCCTTTCTTTCTCTTTCTCTCTCTCTCCTTACACGCACCCAGTCACCGAGTCAATATACACATAGTTAACAAACACATAAATGCACGATCAGTGCACCTAACAAGGGTTAGAAAGTAAGTAATTATTAAACACCCCCCCAAATTGAATAAAATCTCTGAATTAGGAATTTATAATACTATTTTGTGGATTTTATTTTTATTGTGATTTTGGATTTTATGACTAGTATAAAAAATTGTATGTATTGTGAACATATTTTATATTTTTTGGCTAAATTATACGATTGGTCTAACTAGTTGAACCACTGATTGAACGAATGAACTATTGACCCAGTCTGTCTACCGGTTCAATGTCCGGTCTGGTTCTAATAACATTGCTTACAGTAGACGTGACTTTAGTCCTTCGACTAAGACGAACTATTCATATTTTACCTTCCTCTTACAAAATACATATAAAATACACCTTCACACTCACATTCTCCTCGATACACATGCACTCGCTGAACTTCACCAAATATATTTTGTAACCTAATCTAGTAAATTTTGGGCATCATCAATAACAATAAAATGTCAATTTTTTGTTATTTTTTTTATGAAGTTTTGACATAATTCTTATACAAAAAAGATGTTTTTATTTATTATTATTATTATATTTATTTAGTTAACTTTTAATTTATAAAAAAAGTACGAGCATGTATTCGATTAAGTGATAATGAAATCTTAGAATGAGATTTTTTATCCACAAAATTATATGAATTAACACGAATACGACAAAAAAGTAAATAGATCAAGTTAACACGATGCAATTAATTAAAAAGTTCAAGTAAAATTGATTAGTGCTTCACACAAAACTATAATGACGTAATACAAACACGTCGACACGACACAAATATCACACTTATTAATCTCGAGTAAAAGTAAAATTGAAAATTCATAAGTACGACTCTAATGATAACATTTTAGAGAATAAAATATGAGATTCTATGTTTTTAATTTTTTGCTATTTTATAAAATAATTGGACTTATTTGATTGAGATGGTTTTAGATTATAAAAAATAGGATAATATTATGGTTACTAAATTTTTTTATCAAATATCTATCCTAAATGATGTGGCACAAATTTTTAGTATCAAATAAGTTGATTCCATTAATATTCAATGACGGAAGTTATATCACATTTTTCTAAAAAAATTATGTCACAAATTTTCACCATCAAATAAAATAAAATATTTGATAAAAAAATTTAATAAACGTAACATTTTCCTAAAAACATAAACCTACAGCACCTCTTTAATTGCTTATGACGTTCTTTAATGTTGACCTAACCCACAACAGCTAATGGGGCTTAATGCGGCGCTAATGGGCTCAGACAGTGTCAAGGAAGATAGAGACGGGTGTATGGGGGACGTGTGTGAGTTGTATCCACCAATGCTAGTTGTGGTACTTGTGGACCCGACGCCACCACTTGGCCCGCTCACACTGATAAGTGGGCCAGACCCGTTTTTGTGTAGCCATGACGTTTTGATGATGAGGTCAGTGGCCTGCAATAGTCCCCGCACTGGGGCCATGCATTAGGTGCTGTCCCCACTACCTAGTTGGATAAGTTCACAAGAAATGGTTACGATCGATCCAACGTTCCAGATGATGAGTCTAGCTGTATCATACACGTAATCAGTAATATAATATAACTTAGAGCAAACTTCATTTTATCCCCTTTAGTTTAGCTCATTTGCACATCACTTCTCCAAAGTTTTAAAATGACACATAACCCTCTTATAGTTGTTGGACTAAAATACACCGTTAAATTTTTCATTTTCAAAAGAAGATTTGGTATAAAAAAAATTACAAAAAGACAAAAAAACCCTCAACAATTTTGTCTCCTCATATCTCTCTCTCTCTCTCGTATACATAGGTAAGCACTCACCTCTTCCGGTACCGACCAACAACCACCCACCTCATCCTTCACTGATTAACCACCGTCCATCTCACCTTATCCATTTGCAACATAAACAGTGACTATTGCAGTGAAAAGTGGACACAATTGAGTTTTTATTCTGATTTTCTATTTTTGTTTCAGTTTTGATTTCTTCTTTTGCTTTGATTATAATTTTTATTTCAAATTTGATACTGATTTTAATTTGACTTTTGATTCATGTTTCTTTTTTGGTGAAGAAAAATGGAGTTGAGATGTTGGGATAGAATTTGAGTGTTGTTAAGGTTGAATTGAGAAGATGCAGTGGTTCATGTGGTGTAGTCAATGGGCCGCTGTGCATGGTTTATGGCGTTGTGAATGGACTAGGCTGCCGGATTTAATGGTGACGATGATGATGGCTAGGCTGTTGGAGTTATTTTCCATTTCTTCCTTTTGTGTTAACCAGGCACGAACTTTCTCTATTGACACGCTTAAAAACACTGAAGCAAATACTTTTTTCCTAATTAGATTCAGTTAAGACTGCCCTTTCTTTATGCTTCGTTTGTTTGGTACGATGAAAAAATAGAAAAATAAAACTATTTTGAGGAAAAAGGTGCCTTCCCTTTCATTTTGCAAACAGGCCACTTAATTGTTCAACCATAGAGATTCAGGTATTCAGACCAACGATTATTTCGAGTTTATTGCAAGTCGAAACATAAAAACTTATTGTAAAGCCTAAGACAGAAAAAAAATATAAGGGTGGAAACAGGAGTATCAGTGGCTGGATACTGAACCATCAGTGCTTGGCACCACAGAAATTATATGTTAATGAGCCTTGGCAGAGACTACACACAGTATTATTGGCTGGATTCATGTGCAACTGTCCCGCTCTAATTCCCAAGTCACATCAATAATACTATTTGAATTTAATTTCGTGACTTAGTAACCTAATTCCTCATAATTATTGGACAATATTGGGGTTCATTGCAAATTCCCTGCCAATTCAATGGTTGTGTTGGCACAATCTTGTGATTTAACGGCAATAGGATAACAAACATCGAAATGCTACCGTAGAGGAAGAGAGATATAAGAGAGACCTTCTAGAAAGCTGGAATTCATTCCTGGATGTCCAGTAAATTTCTTGTCCGAGCCCAAACCAAACCGTAGCACTACAACTGGCTGCAGGGGGCGGAGCCAGATTTTTTCTACAGTGGGAGCAACTTAAAAATTCAATTTTTTCCTAAGAAAATAACAATTCGAGATGCAATCCATACATATAAGTACATCAAAAAAAAAAAAAAAAAAAAAAAAAACTCAATAAAATTCGTCAAAAAATTCTAACAAAAAACTCTTGTACCCAAAAAAAAAATGCTTACCATGCCGTTATTTAGAACAATGTTGTATGTTATTACTAAGATTATAACTTTCTTAAATAAGGGGTTGTTTCAACATTGATTGCTTGTAAGAATTCTACCATAGCCAATTCAAAGGTTAATTCCTTTAGTCGAATAAAATCAATATTTATCATCAAATTTGACAAATAATTTATAAGCACTATAAATAAAAAAATAAGTAAAAAAAAATAGTTGAAATAATTTAGAAAAGCAAAATTTAGCATGAGCTTTTAAATTTAGGAATAACATAATTTATCATAATCAAATTATTAATCAAAAAATAGGACTTACGGGCGATCAAATCATCACTGTTAAATTGAAATTAAGACTTAAAAACTCTACATAAAAATATTAAATGGGTAAAAGTATTGTAGATACACTAAGAACCCAATAAAAAAAATGAATAATTTATAAAAACTATCGAAATTAGAGATATAGTTTTATGCCCCATTTCGTTTAAATCTACATTCAATTCAATAGACTGGATAAACACCTTGTTCAAAAAAAAAATAAAAAAAAAGATTGGATAAACACCAAATGAAGTCAAAAACAGAGGGAAACATTAGAGGGAATCAAGGAAGAGGAAAGATTGAGGAGAGTAAAGTTGGACGTAACCCAGAAAACAGGAATGCAACAACTCTAAGGAACACTCAAATTGAAGAAGAAAGATATGGAGTAGTTGTCTTCGCTCCCACTACCGCGTGTAATCTATTAAGCCTGACTCTAAAAAGTGTAAAGGAAGATCAACTGTAACTCTAAATACAAAAAAACCCCCAGTTTTTTGGATCTTTTCAGTGGGGGCAATTTTTTAAAAGTCCTCTAACACATTAAGAATTCTAACTACACCCCAACATTTTTCAAAATTGCAGTGGGGCCAGCTGCCCCCACTGCAAATCCGCCCGACAGGCTGAGACTCAACTCAAATCTCTGCAATTTCCATCTACGGGGAACTTTGAGTGAGGCTACAGAATCAGTTAAAATTACGAAGACTTATCAATAGTTGCTTCAGTCTTAATTCTGGCTGTCAAGAGCAGAACAGTCTGGAAAACAAATAGCCATGGCAGCCCTGCACAGTGTCAAGCAAAGGCATCGTCTGGCATGCTTCCTCAACTGCACGGTCCATCCACTTCTTTGACAAATCTTCTGCAACAACGGCAACCTGATGCTGCAATACAGCTGCACCAAGAGGTCCAACCAAATTCAACCTAGTCGCAGCAGATATAACATCTCTCATTATCATAAACATGTAAGCTCTCTGAGAAGTTTGAACATCCGATCCAAGAAGTCCACATATTAGCCCAAAGATGGGAGCATGGTGAAAACAAACAGCACCTGTACTCAGAGACGTATCTCTAAGGGTTTTGAGATTAGGGACTTCTTGAAAAACAGCTGCAGCCACTCTCATTAAGGCTGATCCTTGTGCTATTGATGCTTTACGACCCACTTCATTTGTCAGCGTCGCATCCAACATTTTATCAAGCTTATGCCAGGTTTGCATATCGGGAGAAATGGATGCAGAATAAACAAAAGGAAGGAGTAGGCTCCCTGTGTTTTCCAACACCTGAATCACGTATGTTCGAAGACCTTCAGGTCCAGAGACTAAGCGAGCTTGGATAGCTGCCTCAAGACCAAAAGAATGAGCAAAGCCACCTGTCGGGAGAATGGAATCAATCAATTGCCATTGGCTCCACTGCAGAAGAGAGTCCATTGATGCAGGCTTATTAGTGCCATCATTTATCACCACCTCACCCTCCATTGGAACAATGTAAGTACTCTGGCATGAGCACCCAAGTGCTAACCGGCAGTCTCCAAGGAGCACCCAAGCCAAGGTCCTAAGACTTCCAATCACCAACTAACGAACCCAGCAGATCCACAACGTCGACCGGCAGCCTCCAAGGCACCCCAGTGCCTACTGATGGACGCCTAATGATTACTCCTAGGATAGAGCTCAACTTTTCACACCCAACAACAACACCCAATAATCAAACCTGAATTGAATATAGCCTAAATCAAAATCAAACCCACCAAAACCTACAAGTTTTTACAAGTCTCAAATCAATGTGGGCACATGCAAGAACCTATGAAGAACATTCAAAAACTCAAACAAGGAGACGAATAACACAAAAATTCATGCGAAAAGACGAAAAACATTCAAAGGTTCATACAAGAAATTTTGAAAAATTTTCAACTAACCTCAAGGAGGTAACTCCCAAATGGTGGCGGCTTCAACAACGGCAGCGGCAGCGGCTCTTAAGGGTCCAAGCCTCCTTTGTTCTCTTCCTATTAGTCAATCTCCAGAGTAGTATAAAGAAGAAAGAGAGGGGGAATGGAATTTAAACCTCTAAGCTTCTTAGACAACTAAAGACCTAGCTTCCTAGGCAAGAGAAACCCATTGGCAAAAATAAAAGCCCATGAAGTCCAAACTCTTCAAAAAAAATGCTTCAATTAAAAGAGGTATAGGGGGCAATTGTGGGGGCTTATGTCTGTCAAGTGTCGACTGACACATAACTTGAAAGGCTTAGCCGATCAGCAGCCCACCTTCCGGAACCCAACCTGCCACCTTCGGGCACCCAACCTGCAACAGACAAGTAGCTATCCACGAATTCGGAAGGTACCTTGCTATCACCTTTTCCTTGCCCCACCTCCGCTAGACGAGTCCTACTCGAATAAGGATCAACCTATAACCAAGAGTCCTAGTTCAATATTGCACCGAATATATTGGAGCTGGAGATAAGGCACCTAGGAACAAGAATTCTAGTCTAGAACTACTTCGAACTTTGAGGAGCTGATAATGAGGTTGATCCTATCACAACCTAGAGTTTGAGTATCTTTAGGACACAACTTCCTATCACTATAAATAAAAGTCTCTGGGTACTAGGTAAAAGCATTCAATCCTAACTTATTCATTTTATACTCTTTTACGATAAGACTTGTGATATAACTTAAGACTTGTGATATAACTTAAGCATCGTAGTCCCTTTGGCTATTTTTGGCTATCGGTTCACCTACATTTCTCTTGTTTTACAAGTTACTAAAGGCTTCCTTACTGTTATTTCCGTCCGTACGAAGTGGTGAATCCTTTTGCGGAATTCTCCCCCACACAAGTAGGATGGGGATATAAACACAATTTAAATTGAAATATAAGACATACAATTTGAAAGCGGAAGCAGAGCCGCAGCATTCACGACAAGATGCAGCATAATCTACTTTAGATTTTATCAACGATACCACGTCACGTGATTATTTGACATTATTTTGCACAAAGTGATTGCATTCATATTCGAAACCATTGCTAATTTATGTAAAAAAACAGTGATTTACAAACTATTTGACATAATTAACGTAAATTTAGGATGATCTTCAATTTACATCTCAAATTTATTGACCAACTTAATACACTTTTGAGTTTTTTAATGGAACAGCAAGAAAAAATTCGACTTAATCAGTAACAATCGCTAGACCTACTATGTAATCTTATCGAGAAAACATAAATAGGGCTATATCTATATCTTTCAATAGGTTCGATAACTTTGTGCTCAACAAGAAACATGACTTTCAACGAGCAACTTGTATGCTGTTTTGAAGCAAGCCACAATTGTACAATTTCCATCCTTAATATGCTTACACTATACTAAACCCAAATCATAGTTCCAATTTCAAGAAATTCATACAGAACAGTCTCTCTCTCTCTCTCCCTAGAGGAACGAATGATCTCAAATCAAACGCAATCAACATCAACTAAACCGTAATCGATTGGTGATTATGGATTACAGAGTACAAAACAAAGGGGATAACGAAGAAATCAATTGAAAAAGAAGTGAAGGATCATCACCTACTGAACACAAGTTGGTGGGAACTGGATCTCCATGGCACTGCTCGCACAATTCCAAGCTGTCCCTCTTGTCCCGTTATCTCTAATCTCTTCGATTAACGTATCCTCTGGTGCAGATTGTCGCTTTTTCTCTCTCTTTCTCCAGCGTTCATGGTTTCAATTTTTTTTTCTAAGGTACACAAAGACGACATCTAAGGATATCTCCGATATTGATCCAAGATTAATAGTATATGCGTTTAAAAATTTGATTTAATTTAGTGATATAACGATGTGATTTTAATAAAATTATTAAATTAATACTAAATTTTAATAATTGATGAGCTACGTTGTCAATTTAAAAGTCTATAAGTTAGTAAATTAAGTTCTAATAATATTGCTCCCGACTTAAACTTAAATAAAAAATGAGTAAAAAATTTAAAGTAGGAAAAATTTAAATTTAATGAAATATGAAATATGGTCATCGGATGTTTTAAAAGAGTAAAGTCTGCATTGATTTAAGTAAAAATTTGAGTCTCCCTAAATTTGAGTCGGAGATAAAAAGTTTATTTTTAAGGACCGTTTGATTAGGAGGAAAAAAATGATAGAAAGTAAATTTAAAAAAAAAAATGATAAAAAATATATTTTTATACATGTATTTAGTTAGAATACAATATTTACAATAAAATTTTTAAAAACTTTATTATATTATTTGTAAGAAAATAAAGTTTCAAGAAATATTTTATAATTTTCTTTTTCATGCTAACCAAACACATAAAAATTTTAAAAAGTATTTTTTTTACATTTTCTATCATTCCTCTACTAAACAAAGGAACTCTTAATCTGTTTTACTCAAGTGTGGAGCAAGGACAGGAGATGGCTGAGAGATGGGTCTGGGCCTGGGTGGACTGTTATTAATAGCATGGTTCATATCATCACGTGGGACCTAAACGGTGTCGTCTTGCTAAAATTCAGACCAAACATGATATCAGCATAAATTGTGGTTGTAACCTAAATCTCATATAACAGTAGCACTTGAGAGCTTATATATGTATATCAATTCACATTCATTCATAAAAGTACATACAAATAAATTTTAAAAAATTAAATTTTATGCACAACCATAATAAATTATTTAATTTTTAAATATTTGTTGATTATAAAGTTTTAAAATGACCATCTTAAGTTATACATATCATTTTAGTTTGATAAGTATCTTTATGCATAGACTTGCACTTGTTAAATAAAAATTTGAATAATAATGAGTAATCACACCGATAAATGAGAGTGCAAATTAGTCAAACTCGCAAACTAATAAATTGAATGCATGAATTTGGTGAAATAAAAAAACAAATTCAAGAATAATCTAATTCGAAAGCGCGAATTCGCGTATGGAGCCTCGAGTACAATGTGTATTTCTTTTTGCAATTACTACAAATCTTGGAGCTGGTTCTTCGTTTTTTGAGTGCCTGTGGTCAATGCAATGATGCACGTAGGGTATTTGATGACATGCCTCAGAGAGATGTGGTGTCTTGCACCAGTTTGATTGTTGGGTATATGTGTCTGTATGAGCGTGGTTATTTGACGAGGCTATTGGTCTGCTTTCGAGAATGGATGTGGATCCATGTATAGCTACTTTTGTGAACAAGTTCTATGGTATTGGATGCAAAAGCTCATGAATTTATAGTTGGAGACTCTTGATAAATTGGAGAGCTTCTTTTAAGGTAAGACTCTTGATAAATTGAAGAGCTTCTTTTCCGGAACTTAAGGTATATCATCTTGTGCATGAAATCTGGCTTTTGATTAGATTAGTATTAGCCGCCTATCCCAGAATGGGATGGAGTAGAAAGAATGCGAAGCACTAGTGCTATCGGGTTGGTTTTTTTTTTGTTTTTGGAGGGGGGGGGGGGGGG